GCTTTTTTTTGTCCGTAGCGAAAAAGGACCTCGTGCTACCTATTCTGAGTGGCTGTCCAAGATGGGTGGGAAGGTGCAAGGCATCTCTCGATACCATGTTATGTACAGGTAGGTTTTAAGAGAACTGCGTGTAAAATATAGAAAGTAGGGCGTACACACACACACAGTTGTAGAAATTCCAGGAAAAATATGTTCTGCATTATAATATGCTGACTAGATCTGATTTTTGCCTATTTAACTGCTTTGTCTTACTGGAGATGCTCTGCAGGGAGGAGATTAGTACTGCCAAAATCTCATGAGAGCACAGGAATGCTTCCAGAAGCTTGCTCGCTTCCTTAAGAAAGTGTCTAGAAGCAGATGCTCCTCTTTATTTTCTACTGTTTCCTCACTGTGCAATTAGGTAGGAATTAGGTAAGCTGCCTCAGAGCCTGCTGAAGTTGGACAGAGAAAATCACTGTGATTCACTGAGAATTTAAGAACATTTGATGGTTTGGGTCCCAACTTGAGCATCCTCTCAGAGGAATTTCCACACCTGCTTAGATCTAACATGGTACCAGGGGAGGGGGGAGTGACATTTTCAGTGGAGCATTTCTGATGACCTCATAACCTGCTTAAGCAAGCGTCTTGTTTTTCAAAGGAAAACTTTGACTCGATTAACTGAGTGCGTCCACATTAATACTTGTATTCAGATCCGGAATGTAAGTTCCCAGTCACCCCCACTCACCTCGCATTTTCTCGCATCGCAGAGCTGTTCCCTAGTACACAACTCATCTCCTTTCAGACACAACTAGACTGGAAGGAGAGCACCCAGTGCATTCCAGCTACTTGGGAGCATTCAGTTCCCAGGACCGGACATGGGCTAGGCCAGAGCAGTCGCCCTCCCTCCCCCCCGAAATGTGTATGGCATGGATGTCCTCTGCACCAGCTCTTGAGTTCTGATGCCTCCCCTTGTTCTGCATTACTTTGTAGCACCAGTGTAGCCTCTGCATGCTGCTGGGAGATTTCATTTGGGCCTTAATTTCTCTGCTTGGAACAAACTATCCAGCCAGAAAGAGCACAATTGTGTTGCTGTATTAAAACTTAACCCATCTATTTAATTTGGGGGAAACTAGACAAAACTACATACTGTTTTGTATTAAGAAATGTCAGTCTTGGAAATAACTGTTGCGAGAAAAAGGAGGGGTATTTTTAATATCAGATTAAAAATTTTGGGCAAAGTCTCCGTGTGGCTTGCTGTACTATTTACTGGGGTAAGCAAAATCTGCAGTCATGTACACATCTTCATTTTAAACATCCAGTGGGCTGTTATTTCAATAGTTAACATTATTCCTTCATTAATTTGCAGAAATGCTAGCCGTACAGAAGCAGTTAGGTCTTTCAAAAGCAGGGAAAGCAGTGTTCCAGAAGACCTGCTGCGGTAAGTGGGCTGTTAATGACTGCACATTGTGAAACGAATGTTGGTGTTTTATCTGTATGCAACAAGTGACTTCTGTTTTGTTAAGGCGAGCCTTTGTGAAAATGAGTACATCTCCTGAAGCCTTCCTGTCTCTGCGGTCCCATTTTGCCAGCTCTCATGCACTGATTTGCATCAGCCACTGGATACTTGGTATTGGAGACAGACATCTGTCCAACTTCATGATTAACAAGGAGACAGGTGGCATGGTGGGAATAGACTTTGGATATGCGTTTGGCTCAGCTACGCAGGTATTTGTTTTTTAATTAATTAATTATGTGCAATTATACCTGTATTCTCAGTACTCCTGATACTGATGCTCCTCGTTTGCCATCTTTCTGATGCAAAACAGTCTTTACAAGTTATTTCTAGTTAATAGAATAAAATCTCCGTTTCCACATATTCTCAGCCAAGCAGGAAGCTATAGAGTTTCACAGAGTTTGTACGGTGGTGTTTTGTATAGTTCAGCCATGCTTTCAGCCACTGTATTCATGACTAGACTTTGATGTCACAACTTGGTCCTGTTCTGTTGTGTTGCATGTTATTTTCAGTTAAGTGGCAAAGAGGATTTCATAACTTAAAAAGAGCGAAATCTTTATTTCTAATCCATCTGTTCCAAGGCTTCTTAATTCTTGTTTTCTCTTGACTGTCCTTCCCCTTGGCTAGTTTTTGGGCGTGCCAGAGTTGATGCCTTTTCGCCTGACTCGCCAATTTGTTAATCTGATGATGCCAGTGAAAGAGTGGGGTCTCATTTACAGCGTGATGGTGCATGCCCTGAGGGCTTATCGTCAGGATCCAGATCTCCTCATCAGCACAATGGATGTATTTGTAAAAGAGCCTTCTTTGGACTGGAAGGTGGGACTTTTCCTCTTTCCTTTTTCTTCATGTGAAAATTCTTAAACTGTAATAAAGATAAAACTGATCACAAAGGAAGTATTTCTTGATGCTCACTCTCAGTGCTCCTTTTATCTTTCTTTGTTTTATTGAGTTCTCAGAGAAACTGAACTTAAAGGATTTAAAATGACAGAATACTATATTGACGGACAAAGAATAGTAGCACATGTCTGTGTTATCAGTGTACATGATAATCCTAAAAATGTGGGTATCTCTTGATCACGTTATGTCACTTATGGCAGCAGCATAAATATTTTCAGCTGTTTGCATTGACCCTCTTAAATTTACATAACAACACTGTATATATCAAAGTAATAATTACAGACAAAAACTTGAAACTAGTTGCTCTTTGGTAACTCCAGTTGTAAATTAAATTTTAAGTCATAGGCAGGCTAGATATCAACAGACCCCTCCATTGCATCTGCAGTTAAGAGTTACTGGTTTGTTACTGGCTTGACTTGCTATGATCTGGCAGCTTAAAGGTCTTTTTAAGTGTATGATTTATGATAAATAGGGCAAATTTGTTTTCCCTTTAGAACTTTGAGCAAAGACAGCTGAAAAAAGGAGGCACGTGGATTAAGGAAATAAACACATCTGAAGTAAACTGGTACCCTTTGCAAAAAGTCAGCTATGTCAAAAGAAAGCTCACAGGTGCCAATCCAGCAACAATCACTTGGTAAGATGCTCTCCTTTTGCTTTAAACTGCTCCACTTTGAGCTTTGGCAGTCTCCTGTGTCGAGATTTTGCTCCCTTCAGATAGAATGGCAGCTAGGAAAAGAGAAGAGGCAGACAGGGCAAAATTTCAACGAACTTCCTGTCAGAATCATTTTGGTTTGCGTACAAGCTCTCTGAATCACCCTGCCAGCCATAACACCAGATATCTCCTCGTGAGTGTTCTTGCTCCAGCTCAGGTCTCCTGAGCAGTTTTACTGTTCCTGGCAAGACGCACATCCCCACCCTCTAAGCCTGCTTAACTTCTCACTCTTCAGAACTCTCAGTTCTTTATGTTCGTCTCCACGGCTTTTAGGCTAGAGGTAGTATTTAAATTGATAAGCTTTTGCTGGATGATTCCTTGAAATGGAACCCCAACCAGCTGTATGGGAGGGATAGAGGTAAGCTGCTTCCCAAAAACATCAAGTTCAAATCTGATGGCATTCTCAGGTTATTTATGTCAGTCTAGTCAAGTCTGGCTCAAGCCAGAATCTCTTTAAAGTTCAGTTAAAGTACAATTAATCCCTTCCATCCTTTTTTAAAAAGACATTTTGGATTAATGAAGGAAAAAATAAAAGGCAAAGAAAGCATGCCTGGTTTAAAACCATACAAATACTGAAAAGTGCAGGACTTGGGAGGAGTCCCTTTTGCAGTCAAGGCTGAACTGGAAAAGGCAACAAAATACTTCTTGCAGACACAAATCAGCAGGGCAGGTAAGGAGATAACAGCTTGGATGTGAACTGCTGCATCCTTCTTTCACTTAGAGACCTTTGACAAGATTGAAATATTCATGGTAAATATTCACTAGTAAAGGACACCAGAAATCAGTCTTCACTGGCCAAACCTTCTACAGCTATTGAACAGTCTCCACATCCTGGAAAATAAAGCTGTATGAATCATCTTCAAGTACTGTTTCATATTTAAAAATCCATCTCAGATTTTTCGCTTGTTTCTTTTAGTAAGACCTTATTTTTGTGTTCTCAATTTCAGTGATGAACTACGCCTGGGCCACGAGAAGTCGCTTTCTTACAATGATTTTGCAGCTGTGGCTCGTGGTAACGCTGATCATAATATCAGAGCCAAGGAGCCAGAGGATGGACTTTCAGTAGAGACCCAAGTGAGGTGCCTGATCGATCAAGCAACAGACCCCAATGTTCTTGGCAGAGTCTGGGAAGGATGGGAACCCTGGATGTGAGGGACAGCTCTCTAAAACCCAGCCCGCCAAGGGACCCAGCCCCTAACATGCAGCTGCAACCAGATTGGAATTTTAAGGCCAAAAAGGGAAAAAACTCTTAACTGCTTTTATTGTCATCAGTTAACTTGACTAATTTAGAAAATATTTTTTTGTATTAAAACTGTATTCAAACAGTGATTATTTTTTAAATTATTTTTCTTATATGTGGTTCTGCAACAAAGCAGCTTTATTGTCTTTGTGTTGAAACCAACCTAGAAAGAACTGGAGAGGCTATAAAGCTTAAAGACTTATTTGAAAGGCGCTGAGATCACTCAGAGGAAAGCACAGATTCACACCCTGTGAATTTGTAGGCGTCCTTGTAGTGAAAGTCTGTCTTTTACAGAGACCTTGATGACAATCAGCTGAAACCATTCTGCAGACGTGTTATTTGTAATTAAAGCTAGAAGATTTTCGTATCAATAGAAACAGTGAAGCACATGCTAAAATTTAAACAGTAAATGGCTTTTAGCTCTAGATAACACCTAAAGTATCTGGATGGTTATTTCATTACTGGATAATGAGAAAGCAATGATGAGACTGTGTGCCAGTTTGTTCCAGCAGATTGTTTTTTAACGATTAGAGGTCGTACTCTGTTATCTCTGTCCTTTAGAAGCCTGTACTCCTCATATTGTATTAATTTGTTTGGCCAAAGCCAAAAGTGGCCACTGCCGGCACAGCAGAGCACTGTAAGCTTCTTGCCATAACCACAGTAGTGATGGCTGCGCTTTGGGATTTGCTTGTGCCAGCGTGGGGACATTGTGCCAGATCTGGCTCTTCCTCTTTCAGGTAACCTTGGTGGCAAGTGCAGCACAGACAGCGAGGGGGAAGTATTATGGTTGTTTATTACCCAGAATTCGTTGTAGGAGATAGTTTCCATTGAGGCTTTTAATAATTATCATAAAAGGTGAAATAAAAATGAGTCTTTGCCCTTGTACTGCCTACAAGCTTTTCCCTCCTGCCTCCGTGGCAATGGGGCAGTTCCAGTCTCGCTGAGGGCTGCTGCTGGCACCAGTCTCAAATGAATCTTTCAGCTGGAAAGCAGAGGGATCTGCTTCCTGGATACAACTCCACAAAAAACTCAGGATGGGCAAGATTGCTCACTGAGGCCTAGTGAATACGGAGGGAGCTTTTTTGTTTCAAATACTTTCCAGCAGCAATCGTTACCTTCCTTCTTAATATATATGCTCAATTCTTTATGTCAGTAGTATCACAAATCAAGAAATTCAGAATCTTTTTATCACATTTTATTAATTAAAAGCATTGGCTGTATTTTTGTAGAAGCATCTATTTAAAAATAAAAATAAACCTTCAGCTGTATAGCTCATTTCAAAGTTAATTCAGGGCACTTCGATACAGAAAACGTCCACATTTACCCATTTATACAGGTGTAAATGAATGGACAGTGTGGTTTTTTTCATTAGAGTTTATGATATAGTCTATTTTTATATACACTATGTAAGATGTCTTGGTGTATTTTGTTCTTTCATTCTCTGGTATCAGTAAAGACGGCAGCTCTGTGACTTAAGATTGCTTAGGTGAGGCACCCGGTTTTCACCTTGTCACTCTACAAATACAAGAAAGTTAAAGCACAATAAAAGGCTACATGAAAAGGCGAGGGGACATTTGGAAATCAAGTGGCTGCTCGTATGAGGTGTCTAATTGCACTTTTGGCACATACCTCAGATAATTACTAGGTACTTTGACCTGTACTGCAGAGGACAAAGTTTAAGTTTATAGTTTAACGAGGCTCTTCTCGTAGGACTTTTGATACCCTCAGCAGCAATAGATGTTTGCGCTTTGCAAGCCAGCGCTGGGCAGCAGGCCTCTCTCCAGCCCTGACCAGGGTTCCCCTGGCCTTTCGGAAGGGGCCGGAGCAGGGGCACAGCCTGGCTCTTCCCGGGAAAGGGGACTGGAGTGAACCCTGCCCCTGCCCTCCTCTCCCTTCAGGCTGTGGTGAAAGGCCCATGGGCCAGGAGTGAAAGCTCTTGAGACGGGGGGAAAGTAGCCCTGACAGCGCAAAGGAGCATAGGGTGCGTCCATGATACTTAAAATAGTTAAAAGCTCAGTTTTGGCCCTAAAGTAGGTGTTATAATTGGAAGCCTCAGCTACATCAGTCCTGCTAGTGATGTATTTCTCAAGCTCAGGTGTCAGCTAAGGAGCAAAGCACAAAGCTGCTCGGTTTCATGAGCAAAAACGCATCCTATGCGAAGCAAGAGTCATCGCTCTAACGGAGCTTTCCCTGCGCAGCCGAGTGAGCCTGAAAATCACCTCCAGGAGATGTAAATCGCGGCTGCTGTCCCCACTCCTGACCGAAGAGTGCTGCTCTCAATAAAGCACAGCAGTTCAGTGGAAATGCTGAAGCCAGCCCGTGAAGCAGCAAGGAAAGTACTGACGCAACGAAAACCTCAAGTCGCTGGGCTCAGTGCTTTATGAGGTGGGTTTGTTCGGCTTCCAGAAAAGAAGATGATGATGTGCGGCTCCGAGTCAGAGACTGCTTCAGGTTTCAGGATAAAAAACAAAACTTAGTAACTATCTGCAAGTACAGCAGAATATTTCCTTCTCAAATTAAATAGCCAGATGTGCACTGTATCTGCAAATTCATTAGTTGCACCTAAAAAGCTATGTAAACCATTAGCGTACATTCTCAGTGGGTTTTTCTTAGTGTGTAGAGTAATATTTGTGTTCAAGCTAGTCATCACCATACCTGTCATCTTATAATTTCCCTCTAACTAAAAATAGTAATGCTGCTAAAGAGAGAGGAAAGCTCTGCAGCTGCCGCCTGCAGTTGTCTCCTTTCCCAGCTGATGAAGAGGTTCCTGCATGCTGCTTGTCGTGCTCAGGGTTTTTCTTGGTCCCCATCCCCCCCCCCCCACTTTAAAGTCACCTTGAGGTGCCCGTGGGCGAGATGCGGTACAGCACCCCATGCGTCTGGGCATGGGAAGGAGCCCACGAGCTCTCCACAAGAACGATGACTTAGACTCATCTTCAGCCATGGAAAAAGGAGTTTCCTGCAGCTCCTCTGGCCTGGCGCCGAAGGGTTCTGCCAGTCGCTTCCTGACGCCAGGTAAGCGTCTCCATTTAGAGACGCTTCTCCCCAAACTTCACATTTTTCAAAATCAGAGTGTTAAAATAAGGATTTATTCCCACTCCTTTAAATCGTCTTTTTTTTTTTTCCCCTCACAAGTACTGAGGATGAGGATCTGCCGAGTCACTTCATTAACAGTGTGTACCTCATTTGGAAATGACCTGGGGGTTAAACATTTCACTTTTAAGCTATGTTGCCAGTAAGAAACGGCACCTACGCAGAAAGGTCGCACCCTGGCAGCCTCCCACAGCACCGAGTGGTGTCACTAGTCTCGTAGGAAAGCTACCGCATAGTTACATCTGACGTTAAGCCAGTGGTGTCCAGAATAGGGCGTTTAGGGGTTTTTGGTTGCAAAAAGTTTTGGGGCGGAGTGGCCATAAGGGACTGGAAAGGATTTGGTTACAGTTTCCACATTATTTGCAGGGGGTTTTGGTTTGCTTTTTCGTTCGTTTGGGGTTTTTTTCCTTTTTGATGGGCCAGGAGAGGGTAGCGCTCGCTCTACCTGCCCATGAAGCTCCCAGTAAATTGCAGCGTGCAGGATTCCATTTGGCAAGGCAGAAGATGTAGCTGTGAATTTGATCTCACGAATCTTGTCCCCGCTGGAAACTCACGCGTAACCTGTATCAGGAAAAGGTTCAGAGCATCCACCGAAGAGGGCGAGAAAACGAGGAGCGCAGGGTCCGAGGCATTTTGCTGCTGCGGCACGTGGCCTTTCCGGAGCCCGGGTACGTAGAAGATTTAATTCAGCAGTTTGGCAGCCACAGGTGCAGCTGAACAAACCCGGCCTGGGCTGGCACCACCGGCACTCAAACGCCCGCAGGGAGTCAGAGAGCAGAGTTTAAAAGAGCTAAAAAGAAAAATCCTTTCATTTACCAGGAAGCTCTTCAGCTGTTGACAGCAGGGTGGCCATGGGCTGGATCTGTGCGGTGAACTGACCCAAGTGAGTACAAGTGACAAGGTAAATACTCACTGGAGATTCAAGGGAGAGGCATGAGCCCTGGCAGAGGTGGGATGAGGGGAGGGAGGGCCTGTCCAGCAGTCACTGCGCTGGCTCAACCAGGTGTCCCTCCCTAGGAGTGCGTCGGCAGGTTTCTAACTCTCCCCGAACAGCTTGCACATCCTCGTCCGTGTGTCCCACTCCCCGGTCAGCCCCCAAGTGCTGTTCCTGGCTTCTAGATGTTGAATAAAATGATCATTGCACTCCTGCTTCTTGTTGGGAGGAGGAGAAAAACAGGCAAATCACCCCTCCATCTTTTCCCCCCTTGTCAGCTGACTCTTTGTCACCAGCCAGCCTTTCCCTGTGAAACCTGGTGCCGGGAGGTGCTTCCCCTGGACCAGGTGTCCCTCCCGCACTCCTGCTCCACAGCTGCCTTACTGCAGCCCACGAAATCCCCCAGGAGCCGACGTCCTGCTGGCGCTGCCTCAGCCCTGTAGCACCCCAAGAGTGGAGAAGGGCTCCATGGGCTCCACAGCACCAGCCCAGCCTCGCCGAGCTCCCAGCCCCGCTGCCCCAAAAAAGTCCTGCACTTCTGGCTGGGTTGCAGCACAGGCGGGAGGAGGACGGGGAGGATTAAAGCCAGGCTCAGGCATTGCCCTGTTTCCTCACCTTCCCTGGGTGGCCTGGCCCCCATTTATCAGGAAAAACTAGGCAGAAATACAGTGTGATTTAATTCCTCTCCCTAGAGGGCCCAGGGTCCTGGTGCTTCTCTAGGACCCACAGCCAGCACTCCAGAGTAATTTAAAGTTTTGTCTCTTCTCTGCAAAAGTTTCTTAGAGAAAAGTTTCTCGTTCTTTCTCTCCAGGTGTAAATGCTCCTTTTTGCTTTATTTGGAGCAGGAACTTCAAACAGGTTTTACAGAAAATATTCTGAAATTTG